TCGTAGTAGTAGTAGTAGTAGTAGTAGTAGTAGTAGTAGTGACAGTGGTAGTGGTCGTGGTAGCAGTAGTAGTACCAGTAGTAGCTGTAGTAGTAGTAGTAGTAGTAGTAGTAGTAGTAGTAGTAGCCGAAGTAGTAGTAGTAGTAGTAGTAGTAGTAGTAGTAGTGGTAATAGTAGTCGTAGTAGTAGTAGTAGTAGTAGTAGTGGTAGTAGTAGTAGTAGTAGCAGTCGTAATAATAGTAGTCATAATCAAAATATTCATATCAGTAGTGGTAGTAGTAGTAGTAGTAGTAGTAGTAGTAGTAGTAGTAGTGGTAGTAGTAGTAGTAGTAGTAGTAGTAGTAGCAGCAGTAGTAGTAGTAGTAGTAATAGAAGTAGTCGTGGTAGTCGTAGTAGTAGTAGTAGTAGTAGTAGTAGTAGTAGTAGGAGTAGGAGTAGGAGTAGTAGTAGTAGTAGTAGTAGTAGTAGTAGTAGAAGTAGTAGTAGTAGTAGTAGTAGTAGTAGTAGTAGTGTCGGTGATGCAGTCGTTGGAAGAATTTCGACATGCGCGCGCGGCCGACGCGCCATTGGCCCGCATGTGTTTTTTTTTTTTGCCAGGGACCGTGACCCCAGAACGCGCGCAAGGGCATCGAATGATTTCGACATGCGCGCGCGAGACCCGTTTAGAGGCATTCGATGACAAGGTTGAAAAAAAAACATATTGTTTTATAGCATAAATCGGAAGAGCGCACGCAATATCGTTTGACACAACATGGTGCAACACGATTTGTTGTCCATACGTTTTCGAAACACCTCGGTCTTGAAATCCTTAGGCAACTTTAGGTTCTTGAAACATTCCGGCGTGCGCGATGACGCGCGCGTGCGGACTGTGCCACGTTTTTGGTGAGGGATTATGGGAACGTGCTGACTTGTGATAAACGAGTGCGCGCATAGTATTCTGTGTCAGGGATGAGAAAGGGGGAGCTCGGTTCTGCTGCGATGGAACGAACTAACATGGGACATGGAATATGGGGCAAACTCAAATTTGAAACGTGCATCCCGAGGCCGGCCTGGTACGGTGGTGGGGGGCGGTAGATCCTACTTCTTTTGCAAACAGAAGAATCGATGTGATCCAATCAATGGTGTGCAAATTGCGTTGTCCAATCTATGTGGTGCATTCTATGTAGTGCAATTGACTACCCTGCACCGCGCTTGACCACTCCACTGCTCGTGCAAACATCCCACCCACACACCCGCAACTTGGTTCGCAAACTCTCTTAAGACCGTGACGGTGGGTACCGAATGGCACTCGCCAGCGACAGCGACGCCGACGACGACAGCGACAACGACGACGACGACGCCGCCGACAACGACTGCGACGACACCGACGACGTCTCCAACGACTTCGACGACGCCGACAACGACGACGACGACGACACCGACGACGACGACGACGCCGACGCCGACGACGACGATGACACCGACGACGACGATGACGACGACGACAACGACGACGCGACGACGACGACGACGACGTCAACGACGCCGACGACGACGACGACGACGACGACGGCGGCGACGACGACGACGCCGACAACGACGACGAAGACGACGACGCCGCCGACGACGACTAAGACGACGACGACAACGGCGACAACGGCGACAACGACGAGGGAGGAGGGAGGACGGCGACGACGCGAACGACGAAAAAGGAGGAAGGACGGCGACGCCGACGACGGCAACGACGAGGGAGGAGGGAAGACGACGACGACGACAACGACGACGAAATAGGAGGGACGACGACGAGACGCCGACGACGGACGACGACGACGACGAGGGAGGAGGAAGGACGACCACGGCGACAACGACGACGGAAACGACCACGACGCCAAAGAGGACGACGACGACGAACACGAGGAAAGACAGAGGACGACGTAGGCGACGACGACGACGACAACGACGCGGGAGGAGGGAGGACGGCGACGACGACGACGACGCAAGAGCGCGCGCGCACGCTTTTGTTGAAAATCCGTGTTGCGAAACCTAGGGTTTTTGTAGGTTTTTTGGACGCGCGATTTCGAAATCCTTCCAAAACCGATGGGTTTTGAAGGATTTCGGCGTACGCGCGCGACCACGCGCGCGTGTGCACTTCGTTCCATTTGTTGCAAAGGATTCTCGCGACGGCACACGCGCAAGGGCGTTCGACAGATTTCGGCATGCGCGCGCGCGACGCCCGTTTGGTAGCATGTTGTGAAAATCGTGCAACAACCTATGGTTTTCTCAAGATTTCGCAAGAGCTCGCGCGGAAGCTATTTTAGCAAATCACTGTTGCGAAACCATGTGTTTTTGTATGTTTTTTTTGAAGCTCGATTGCGAAACCCGTCCGGCACCGAAGGTTTTTGAAGGATTTCGGCATGCGCGCGCGACGACGCGCGCGTGCGCACTTCGTCCTATTTTTTGCAAGGGATTCGTGAAACAAATGCGATGTTAGAACAAACGATGTCACCGCATAGTGTTTTTTTAACGAGGGACCCTTCGGGGGGGGAAGCCGGCCTGCCTGGGATGGTATGGTTTCGCATTTAGGATGGATGAATGTGCATAATAAATATGAAATTATATTATCCCAGGGGGAAGCGTTAAGTCCGGGGGGGGCTAGAGCTTAGTCTCTTTTTAGGAAGGAGAATATTTGAGGTGCGCAGCCTATGATGTGCAATCGGCGTGGTGCGATCTGTGTGGTGCAAGATATGTTGCGCCATCGGCGTGTGTGTGCGTGCTCTTTTTGCACAAACAAGTTGACAAATTCCTTGCTCTTGCAAACATCCCACCCGCCCACTCGCAACTTGGTTTGCAAGACCCATGAGGCGGCGATTGCGGTGAGTGCTTGGAGTTGGCTGGTGCATGTCTGCGTCCGCGCTAGCCCGCGCATGCTCGCGCGTACATTGGCCAGCTAGATTAGCGCGACCGACGCGGCCGCGGTGGCGCTGACCGCTGGGCAAATCCCAGCGGGCATTTCAGTGCGAGCTGGTGACTTGGGCGGGCGCTGTATCATAGCGACGCCGACAACAGTAAACATGACTGTGGCAGTAGCAATCATGGTCGCGATGGTGGCAACGACGACGTAAAAAAGCAATGACCGCGTTGATGTTGATCACGCAACTCCGTGGGGGAGGTAGATCTGCACTGTTTTTCGAAAAGGAAAATCGACGTGGTGCAATCCACATGGTGCAATCAGCGTTGTGCAGTAGATGTTGTGTAACCCTCTTGCCGAATTTGAAGTTGTCAGCCCCACTGCTCGCGCAATCATCCCGACCACCCACCCGCAACTTGGCTTGCAGAACTCAAACGGGAGCGATTGCGATGAGTGCTGGGTGTTGGCTGGTGCGCCTTTCGGCGGCCGCGCTAACCCGCACATGCTCGCGCGCGCAGCGGTCAGCTAGTTTGGAGCGACCGACGCGGTGGCGCTGACCGCTCGGCACGTACTAGCGGGCACTTCAGTGCGAGTCGGTGACTTGGGCGGGCGCGGTATCATGGCAACGTCGACAACGGTAGACACGATGATGGTAGCAGTCGTAGCGATTGTGGTGGCGATTCTGACAGCGACGACGGGGCTGCCAATGACGGCGCCGATGCTGATCACGCCGACGACGATGACAGCGTCTTCAAGTCGGTGATGAAGGTTTTCGAAGGAATTCGAAATGCGCGCGCGGCAGACGCGCGAGAGTGGCTCGCATGGTATTATTTGACACGGATCGTGCCACCCCAGCACGCGCGCAAGGCCGTTCGAACGATTTTGACATGCGCGCTCGCGAAGCCCTCTTGGCAGCATTGTATAAGACTGTTGAACAACTGAGGGTTGTCTTGAAAATTCTCAAGAGCGCGCACGCTTTTGTTGAAAATCCGTCTTGCGAAACCTCCATTAAAAAGAATGGGCGCTCGAACCTAAAATCTTTCCGAAACCGAAGGTTTTTGAAGGATTTCGGCGTGCGCTCGCGACGACGCGCGCGTGTGCACTTCGTCCCTTCTTTTGCCAGGGATTCTTGAAAACTTACGATGTTCGAGAAACGAGTGTGCGCGCATAATATTTCTCGCAAGGAAGCCCAGGGGGGGCCGATACCGGCTTTGCTGGGATAGTATGAAATCAGAAGTAAGATGGACGTGTGGTCAAAATCATGCGTGTGTGTGTGTGTGTGTTTTGCAGGGGTTCCCGGAAAGTCGATACGTCTGGTGGGGTGGTGGTGGTAGAGCCGATCTCTTTTCCAGAAAGGAGAATCCTCGTGGAGTATCCTATGTGGTCAAAAACTGTGCGGTGCAATCTACGTTGTCGAATTTATGTGGTATGCTGACTTTGGTGTGCACTCGATGCGGTAAAATCTATGTGGATAAATCTATGTGGTGCGCAGGCTATGCGGAGACACAGAATAGGTTTCGCAATCGACGTGGTGGAATCATTGTGGTGGAACATGCTTTGTGCAATCAATGTTATGCAATCCTTGTGGGGCAACCGATGTGGCTCAATCTACGCGGTGCAAGCTATGAGGTCCGATCTTTTGGGTGCGCAGCATCTGTGATGCAATCTATGCGGTACAAGCAATGTGAAGCAGTCTATATGGTGGACAACCTATCTGGTACAATCGACTTGGAGCAATAGGTGTGGTGCAATATCTGCGGTGTACTCTATGTCGTGCAATCTATGTGGTGCGCTCTATGTCGGGCAATCGACGTGGTGCAATCTATGTGATGCGAACTATGCGGCGACGGGGCGGTGACAAGGCGGCGACGGCGACTTCGGAGCCGCCAGACCGACGGGCAGGCCCAGGCGACGGGCGACGACGGGGCGGCGACGAGGCGGCGACGGCGACCGCGGAGCCGCCAGACAGACGGTCAGGCCCAAGTCCGGAGAACACAAATAAGCATCCCTACGTGCAAGCACTGATCGGGAAATACTCAGGGGAACAAGACACTGTACAAACATCAACTTCCAGAGGTCCGCGCAGATCCAAGAGATTCGAGCGGAGCGCTTTTTACATGGATGCGGTCTTCCCGTTACTCGAAAATTGCAGCGTCCGGATCTCAAGGAACGCGCCCTCCCCAGCGACATTCAGGAACGTAAGCACGAACAGGGGCTGGCCGCTCATGACCAACACCTGCGCGGTCGGGGGCGCCCGCCGAGAGAGCGACCGCCCAGGCCACTCAACCTCGCGCCTCGCGCTGCGCGAAGCGAGGCCATTGGATCGTTGTCGCGCCCTCCCGCCTTCCAAACGGGCAAACGAGCTCCGCACTGCACATCCTCAACTGCAATGCGATATTCAAAAGTCGCCAAGCAAAGTGGGTCGCCGCCACATCCCTAGAGATTGACAACTCTCCCGCCCGGGCTGCGAAGCGTGATTACAACAAGTTCGCGCTGTGACGACCCTGGCGCCAGATTCGAACACCGCGTGGATCGTTCAACCTGGAACGGTCGGCGGATGTTCGAGCGCCAGGTCGTTCCAGGTAGGCCGATGCTGGGACACTGTAGTCGTTCAACCTGGAACGTCCGCGGTGGGATCCCCGCCACGTCGGCCCGCCTGCGGTTGGCAGAGCAAGTAGACAACGTGTGAGGTGTGCACGGAAGGCAGCTGCACACCACCACGATCACCCCTGGCCGCGATCATCCTGAGTCACAGGCTGGTGCATATGTATGATCCCAGGTCGAGGGTTGAGTCCCCCCCAGATGGGGTGGGTCCCAGGGTTCCACAAGCTCCTCGCCCCCCCTCCCCCCCAGATGGGAGTGGAGGGCGGGGGACGACGACGCCGACGCCGGCGCCCACGCCGCCGCCGACGACGACGCCGACGCCGACGCAGACGCCGACGCGGCCGCCGACTCCGACGCCGCCGATGCCGACGACGACGAACCACCCCATACCCACAAGGGGAAGGGTTGGGGGTGCACCAGCACTCTTTACCACGCCACGCACACTTTACCACGCCACGCCCACAGCGCCACGACCACAGGGGCGGGGAACGATCCCATTCGCGAGGCCTTCGCGAGGCTCACGGGTGTACCCGTTTAGCGGGGGCGGGGGGGGGTGTCTCGATCCCATGTGCACTGGGGGGGAGGGGGGGGCATCCCTGGATCATGTATGTGTATGTACTCCAGCCAGGAGAGGCACAGTTTGAACGAGGACACACGTGGGCATGTGAACTCGAAGGCGCGATCCTATGCATGGGGGAGAGGGAGAGAGGTAGAGAGAGAGGGGGGGAGAGAGAGAGAGAGAGAGCCAGAGAGAGGGACAGAGCTCGAGAGAGAGAGAGATGAGGGACGGATCTTCACATATACATATATATATATATGCACATACATATCTGTATGTATATACATAACTATATACACTAACATGCGAAAGGGAGGGCGAGAGGGAGCGAGAGAGAAAGAGAGAGAGAGAGAGAGGAGAGGAACATGAGGGGACAGAGAGAGAGAGAGAGCGAGAGAGACAGAGAGAGAGAGAGAGAGAAATCCGCCAGCCCCCTTGCGGGGCCATCAGGCTGCGAAGATTAGGCTTGCAGCTCCCTGTGCCAGTTGCAGTTTCCAGTTTCCACTGTTACAGTCTTGCTTTCTGCTTCCTGACTGTTAATTGTTGCTGAACGCGCGAAGGGGGGGGGAGCCGTAAAGCGTCCTGGCTAGCGCCCCCGAATCGCGTTGTCTGAATTCCTGGGGGGTCGCGGGACAGGTGAAAATACATGAGATTCGCGTCCCCGAGACCATACTCCCTAAGAGATTACGCCATATTCGAGTCCCCGAGGCCATACGCCCTCGCAAATTACACAATATTCGCATCCCCGAAACTATGACCTCTCGTCAGTCACACGATTCTCGCGTCCCCGAAGCCATACACCAAAGCAAGTTACACCGTATTCGCGCCCCCGAAGCCATACACCTTTGTATATTAGATGAGATTGGCGCCCCCCCGAAATCAGACACCATTGAACATTAAACAACATTTTACCAGCCTCGAACGTATCCCTATCCTTAAGATTGACACGCCAAGAGGCGATGACAATCTTAGGGATTCGCCTTCAAACAATAAGGGAATCCCTAAGATTGGCATCGTGATGAGGAGGTGCCCAACATAGGGATAGGGATATGTTCCAGGCTGGTAAACATTCGCGTCCCCGGGGCCGTAAACCCTGGTACATTGCATCATGCTTGCGCCCTCGAGGCCACGCACCCTTTGCAAATTGGACCATATTCGCGCCCCCGAGGCCATACATCCGCGCAAGCTGAACAGTATCTACGCCCTCGAGGCCATACATTTACCAGCCTGGAACATATCTCTATCCCTATGCTGGGCAGCTCCTCATCACGATACCAATATCAGGGATTCCCTTATTTTTTGAGGGCGAATCCCTAAGATTGTCATCGCCTTTTGGCGTGTCAATCTTAGGGATAGGGATACGTTCGAGGCTGGTAATACATCCTCGTAAATTGCGCAGTGTGTGCGCCCTGGAGGCCGCACGCCCTCGCAAAGTACGCGCAGCACTCGCGTCCCCGAAGCCAGAAGCCCTGGTACATTACCGGAGATTCGCGCCACCTGCACGTCGGTCGGAAGAAGCAGGTGAAAACATGCTGTGGGAAGGCGGATTAAGTTGATTGGGTCCAGGCCCCCCGAGAGACTGACAAAACACAGCAAAAGCGTGTCGATTCTTGAGGTAGAAAGGCGCTTGAAGTAGCTTGGGATCTGGGAATCCAGAAATAAATACTTTCAACGACCGGCGCGTAAGCTATAAACCATCGGAACTTAACGTTGGCCCTCGCGCGAAGTCCCGACATTGCTTCACGTCAGCGTCCAGACATCCCAACGCAGCTCTGGCAGGTCCCATTCTAAGAGAGGGGGGCTGGCGGCATGGGCGCGAAGCCGTTACGGATATACGCGAAATCTATAGGGCAGACAAGGGAGAGAAAATATAAAGGACAAAACGGGACAGTGAGAGAGAAAGAGAGAAAAAGAGAGAGGAAGAGAGAGGGAGAGAGAGAGAGAGAGAGAACAACATACACTGCCGCGAAACCGAAGGCTGGCAAGTTCGAACATATTGAGCAAGTGAACCTGAGAAGACAGTATGACGATGGACACAGAAATTTGACCTGACAGCGCAACAGGCCTTCAGGGCGTGAGTGCCCTAAGGAGCTCGGTATGTTAACTTCCCTCTTCTCCTGAAGGGAGGAGGTTCCCCATCCCCTCTCCCCCTGGGCTGGAGGGGGCTTCTCGCGAGGGGTCGGAGCGCCCAAGATGGCTCAAGACGGCGCCACGAGGGTCCCACACAGCCCAATATGTCCGCCAAGATCACTCAATGCAGCCCAAGATGGTTCAATATACAGGGCAGTTTTTAATACATAGGATTTTGAAAAAATGGGATTTTCGATACATGATTAACTTATGAATAAATGTATGCATGAACTCATCGTTTTTTTATATATATATATATATATATATTATTATTTTGTAAAAAAAGAAATCCCTGCATGCTTAATACATGATCCGCACGCGGAGACTGTATAAAAAAAACGGCACTGTATAGCCTCCAGCATGCCTCCAAGATGACACAAGACTGTCCCTAAGACGGCTCCGAGCGGCCATGGCGCTTCCCATGGACGCCCCGGAGAGGCCACACGCCTTCCCAAATCAATGCCTGTCGCAATCTCGCCCTTCCAGAGCGTCCAAGATGGCCCAAGACGGCTCCAAGAGGGCCTCTGAGAGCCCAAGATGACCTCCAAGATGGCTCGACATAGCACGAGATGCCTCAAGATGGCTTCCAGTATGCTCCAAGAGGATTCAATAATATTCCAAGACGGCTCCAAGAGGCCTCCGAGGCATCCAAGGAGGCCTCCAAGAGGCCAACATCCTTCCAAAACCTGAGGAACAACCATGCTGTTTGCCTTCTCGCCTTTTCGCTTCCCATGGCCATCCGAGGCCTCAAGATGGCTCCAAGACGGCCCAAGAGGGACTCAAAGAGGGGCCAAAGAGAGCCTCACGACGGCTCCAAGAGCGCCCAACAGCGCTCCAAGAGCGCCCGAAGAGGCGACCGGTGGGGCTCCCGAGGGGCAACGCTAGTTGAGGAACCCCCCTGCTTTGGTCGATGTCCTCCAAAATGGCCCCAAGAGCGTGTCCAAGGCCCCCAAGAGCGCCCCAAGAGGGCCCCCAAAAGCGCCCAGACGGCCCCAAGAGGCGCCCAAGAGGCCTCCAAGAGGCCCCCAAGATGCCCCCAAGAGGCTTCAAGAGGATCCCCGAGGCACCCAACATGCCCCCCAGACGCTCCAAGAGGCCTCAACAAAAACAAGAGACATCCGAGGAAGCTCTTCTGATCGTCATTTGTTCCTCCTCCTCGTCCTCCTTCTCCTCCTCCTCTTCCCCCTTTTTCTCCTCCTTATCCGCCTCCTCCTCCTCCTCCTCCCTCCCCTCTTTTTCGATCGATGTCCTCCAAGATGGCCCGAAGAGCGCCCCTCGAGCTCCCAAGAGCGCTACAAGAGGGCCCCAAGAGGCACCCAGACAGCCCCAAGAGGCGCCCAAGACACCTCCAAGAGGCTCCCAAAGATACCCTTAACAGGCCTCAAGAAGATCCCCGAGGCACCCAATACGCTCAACGACGCCCCTGGGCCCGCCAAGAGGCCCCCAAGACGCAAGAGAAGCCCAAGAGAGCCTCAAGACGGCCCCAAGAGCGCCGGAGAATGTACCAAGAGCGCTCCAAGAGGGACCCTTCCTCTGTGTGCTGCCCACTTCCCTGATCGAAGCAACTCCTCTGGGCATCGTCGCTGGGTATGCTGGTGGGGTTATGCGAAACGTCTCAAATTTGATGTGGAACCAACATGCGTTCGCATGGTAAATGACAATGCCGTAAACACTAGTAGCGCAATGAATCCGGCTGCAAGTGTGAGGACGTGCGCCCGTCGCTTCAAAACGTACCCGAAGAGAGCATGAGCAAGCGGTCCTCCCAAAATATCTTCACACCGGGATGGTGCTTTGCAAGCTTGAATATCCTTCGCTCGAGGCCGTTGGCACCATGAACTCCGATATCACAAACAATGACTTGCAACACAAACATGTTCATGACATGCTCGCTGTTTAACAACCGTGTTGAATCGTTCTTGCCTAAGCAGTGCGGCCATGAACAACCATCACCACTGATTCAACGACAATACCATGTGCTCGATATTGATGCGCCGTTAATCAAGCGCACCGTCATCAAACGGGGGCATACACGTTCAAATCATACTATGCGCGCCTGGATGCTGAAACTTCGATTTTTCTCAGGGGCCGCAAATTTGAGTACCTGGCGACAACAATCCAGATCCCATCCCTTCCTTCCTCATCTGACTATCCAGATCTTCTCCCCCTCCCGCCTGGGTCTGTTCAAAGGTGCGTTTCATCGAAAATGTCAAAGCGAGTCCAACCGTGACGCCGATGTCCCCCCAGGAGACCCAGAGAAAACAACTTACAGCCAGAGTCCAACATCCCAAAAGAGCGCTTTTTGAGCCAAAGTGGCTCCAACAATACCCTGTTCAGCAAGCTACCTGGGCAAATATCCAAATCCGCTTCCCCCCGTTGCTATCCCCCGTCCCTGTCCTCATCTCAGTCCTCCTGCTCCCCCTCCACCTCCTCCTCCTCGTTTTAGTCGCGACCCCAACGCTCCGGAGGATGCGCGCCAGTCGCAGCACGGCTATGAAGGATGGCTTGCTGTCGCCTGCGGGAACACCCGTCCAGTGCGAAAGACCACGGAGGATGCGGCCAGCGCGGCCGATTTCGCGCCATCACGAGAGTAGGATGAGGGGCGAGGAGCAGGAGGCGAGGAGGAATTTGATCACACACACACACGCGCACGCACGCACGCACGGGCACAGACACAGACACAGACACAGACGCAGACCAGACACACGCACACGCACACACACAATCACACTCACACCCACACTCACACTCACACTCACACTCACACTCCCGCTAACACTCACACTCACACTCACACTCACACTCACACCAACACTCACACTCACACTCACACTCACACACGCCCACACTCACACTCACACTCACACTCACACTCACACTCACACTCACACTCCCACTCCCACTCACACTCGCACTCGCACTCGCACTCGCACTCTCTCTCACACACACACACCCACACACGATAGTCCATCTTGCTATGACGCAGCTAGCCTCGTCGGTTCTGATATTCGTGAGGTGACCCAGAACTCTACGGGCCCATCGGGAGCAAGGAATTATCGTGGTGGGCCCGCGGGCAGGCCAATGTCTTGTCTGGTGTGTCCAGCGCGAGTCGCGGTCATCTTCGCAGTTTCGCCTCGCGCCCTGGAGAAGGGCAGCTCTACGGACAGGACCATGGGGCGCGAAGCGCTGCTTTCTTCGCGCCCCTGGAAGCCTCTGGGCAACTCTTGTTTTGCCGCGGTAGCGCTGACCCCGCATGAGTGGCGGGGGTAGCACCACGTGCAGCATCGGCACCATCAACCCATGCGTATGCCGCACGCGCGAATCCATATCATCTCAGTATGACGTGGCGCAGTCAGGGAGACGTCAACATGCTCAAACTGCCACCATGTCAACGCAACAAGGAGTTCCACCATACAATCAAGAGCGTCCCAAAACAGCTAGCGCAAGAATCCCACACCCTCAATCTAATACATGATGTACAATGGTATCAACCACGAACGACTAAACCGCGCACCACAGGCGAAACGAACATTAAGCTGCACTCTACAACATCGCAATACGCAGGGCTAACGTAACATAGCTGCTTTACCGCAACGCCAGCTGCTGTAAGAGCAAGCATTTCGCCTACGGCGATGTCGACATAGAAAGGGAGAATGGCCAAGAAATCGACTACGTTCATTGGCTGCCTCGGTTTGGAGGGTGCGCGGGAGGAACGTCAGAACATTATGAACGACGATAGAGCGAAGTGTTAGGCGGTGCCCCGTGACGGTGGGATATTCTCACACAAGATGGCAACACTCACAGTTGACCAGGCTAGATTCCATGACACTGGCTGACCATCTGACCCTGCCAGGCTGACCACAATGCCACGACCAACCCACTGCTCGCACCCTTATCGGTCCTACCGTTCGCCCTGTCCATGGGTACTCGAGTGATCACTGCGGGCGGTCCACTCCAGTCCTGAGGATGGCACAGGGGGGGAGCAATAAATCATGGAGTCACCGGCTGAGCCATTACGACCAACTGTGCCTCCTTCAACTAGGACGCTGAGGGGCACATCGGTGGAACACGCCTGAGGCCCTGGGGCTGGAGGAGAGGCACGAGATGGAGGACGAAGAGGAGCCAGCGTGAACTCCTGGGGCACATTCCCCCCACGCATGCAGAGGCGGCCACCTCAGATAATCGCAGGTGCGTCCCAGTGCGGACTTGAACTGCGATTTCTCGAAGCCTGCGTGCGACAAAAAGACTCTGATCAGATAGTCAGCGGTGAAGATGCCGATGCAGACGGCCTGGTCGCTCCTCTCTCCTGACCTACCTCTCACATTATTCCCCCAAGAGTACGACACGGCCCGCTTTGCGAACACCCCACCCTCACACGCCTGTGTATCGGGCGCTTCATGCGCCATGGCTGTGGTTCCTGTTCTTCACCTCAATACTCTTTTACTTACTCGTTCTCTTCCGGCCCCTCCTCCTCCTTCTCCGCTTCCTTATGATCCCTACCATCCTCTTCCTCTTCCTGCTGTGCCTCGTCCCTCGCCTGCATCTCACACAAAGGATGCACGCCCCTGCCGCCCTATCCAGTCTGCGCGCCATCGACCATCAACTCTCTAGGCGCGTACGAGTGCACACCCGAATGATCAGTCGGTCCAGTCAGCAGTGTGCGGAAGAGGGGAGGTCGACGTACCATGAGAGATGGGGAGGTGGAGCAAGGGGCAGAGTGGAAGAGGAGAAGGATCATCAAGAGAAGGATGAGAAGGAGACGGGATGAGGAGGAGGAATAACAGGAACAGAGATGAGAGGAACGGTGGGCGGAAGAGGGGGGAACATCAGGAAGGACTGATGAGGATAAGAAGATAGGCATGTGTGTGTGTCTGGGGGGTGTCGACCCCTGAGAGGTAATCCCAACCCAACCTCGCGAAAGAGAGACCCCCTGCGAATACCTCGCGACGTTTCATCCTCTGGGCCCGTTTTTGTAATTGTGGGGAAGCGCGGAGGGGGTCGACACATGATTGTCGGGGGGCTGGTTATGCGATGGGGTGACGTGGGCTGACTGCAATGGATTATCGAACGTGTCTGCGGTCTGTGTTCATGGTCCATGATGCTCTTCTAGTTTCGACTGTTTGCGCCTTTCCCTGCATCGTGTGAACTCACCTGTAACGTGCATTGCACGTTTCATACGTTTCTTATGTAAGGTGGTTCAAACCAAGGCTTTACATCCTTCTGGCGCCCCCACATGTTTGCAGCACCTCGGATACCTTCGGGCACGTTCAATGTGACGTGTAAAGTATCTCCGCTTCATCGTCTGGCCATGTGATGCTCCTTTCGCCTGAGTCCATTACGCATTCAAGTTCCGTACCTGATCCTTACGCAATCACCTGGTATTCATTACATGTTCGTGCTGGTTGTACGTACATTCACGTGATGTTGCCAAAATTCCTTACATGCCTCTGTTTGCTGTGAAATTGATGTCTTTTCATATACGTGTCCGTTCAAATCATATTACACTACGTTCAATGTAATTTCCTCCAGAGTTCATGTGGGTGGTATGCTCATTTGCTTGCCCCATTCGCTCCAATAGCGCCCCCCCCCCCCCGCAATCATTATCCCACCAAGAGGTCGAAGTGTTATCGAATATCGACCTATACCATCGCGGGCTTGCGGTTGTTACAATAATATCGAGCGCCACGGTGTGTTGTGGCATGGTGCCCCGCACCTCTCGAACTGATCCAGAGGACATGCTCTGGGTTGTGTGTTCGAGGGACCCGCGGCCCGAAAGGAGTCTTCTAAATATCCCAGGCTTGGGAACAACCCTTCGGAATGTCGAATGCTGTAAAGCGTTCCGACTGCTTCAAGAGAGCCCTGTCCCCCTCGACCCAGAAGGCGACACGCCTGCCGCCGGCATGCAGCGCCATGCGCGCGCGCAAAGGGCGTGCCTCGCGCCGTGCTGGGGCTGAGCTCCAAAAAATGCCGCCGACAGCCGCGCCGTGCCGTGCCCGTGTTCCAGGAGTGCGGGAGCACTGCGGTGCCGTGCCCGCCTGTCGCGGCGTGCCTCGGCTCTCGAAGGGGGAGGCGTGCCGCGCCGTGCCACGGTCGCGTGCCGTGCCGTGCCGTGCCGCCAGTTTCAGAAGGCAAGCAACGAGCCGTGCCGTGCCGTGCCCGTATGCCGTGGTGGGCTTGTTTTCCACCACCACCACCATAAGTAGGAGGGGGAGGGGTCCTCCTCCTCCTCCTCCTCCTCTTCTTCTTCTTCTTCTTCTTTTTTTTTTTTTGTTTTTTTTTTGTTCTTCTTCTTCTTCTTCCTCCTCCTCCTCGTCCTCCTTCTCCTCCTCGTCCTCCTCCTCCTCCTCCTCCTCCTCCTCCCCCCCTCCAACGTGTGGTGGTGGTGGTGAAAAGCAGGCCCATCATGCCGTGCCGCGCCTCGGCGCCGGACCGCGAGAGAGGTGCAGGGCCATGCCGTGCACGCGTGCCGTGCCGCCCCGCGCCGTCCTGGGCCGTCCTGGGCGTGCCGCGCCCGAGGCCGATGCCGTGCGAAAGCGAGCCGTGCCGCTGCGACGAGCGTGCCGTGCCGTGCCGTGCCGCGCGTGCCGTGCCGAGCCCGTGCTCGGCCTCTGGCGGGGCGGCACCGACCGCCCGCACCGAGCACGCCGCCCGTGTGGCGTCGACTCGGCAGTCGTGCTCGCGTGCCGCGTGGCTGTTTGGGGTCGTTTGGCACGGCGCAGACTGAACTCGGGTGTGACGAGAGCGTGTAGGATCAGACACCACGCCCCGGAGAGCCGCGTCGATCGATGTGAGGCATCCCCTCTTGCTCCCTCATCCCTCCTTCTTCCGCGTTCCCCTCCGGCCTCTCTCTCTCTCTCTCTCCTCCCTCCTGCCTCCCTCAGTGACGCGGCAGGTAGAACGATAGCAGCAGGGTGGGGCTAAGAGGAGATGGAAGTCTACGAGACTGGCAGATGTGCACGAAGCATTGTCGGCCGCCATCTTGGCACCGCCGCTGGAGCATCGACAGTGCGTGATCAAGAGGCAGGGGCGCCATGGTTTCGCCCCGTCGTGTCTTCGTTCGCTGACTGGCAATTCTTGTCCGAATCTGGTCAGGTTCGCTCCGCCATGCGCCTCCTCCTTCCTCGGCTCTCGTCCGTCAGTCTGATAAGATTGATCCTTCCTCTCCCCCCACTCTCCCGATCCCTTTAGACCAGCACTCCTGGGCCGTGCGGTGTTTGGCTCCCCCAACATCACACCGCCACAATCGACATGTCATACACTTGAGATTGCATTGCGCTGCGCTTCTCTGCCTTGCACTGAACTAGAGGCGCACGGAAACGCATTTGAGCTTGCCTGCTCTGTCCTGCCATGGAACTCCCGCCAATGCCACGAGGCTCTGCGTGTCGCCTACTGCCGCTCACAGATCTTGACTGCCACTTGCATTGCTTCGTTGAGGCCTTTGCAACGCATTGCGTCGCCCTTCTGGGCCGTCCCGGAACGCGCCCCCGTGCGCTGGTGCGCTGGCTTGCCGTGCCCTGCGTCAGCCGCAGCGCCTCGTCCTTGCCTCGCCCTGCCGCCACGCGCCTCCAGTGCCATGCCGCGCCTTGCCTCGCCAAGGGAGCAGGGAGAGGGTGACGAGGAAGAGCAGGACTGGTCTGCGGAGCACGAGGCTCGCTCCCCTGCTCGCTCATGGGGGAGGCGACGGAGGAGGAGGAGGAGGAGGAGGAGGAGGAGGAGGAGGAGGAGGAGGAGGAGATGGAGGAGGAGGAGATGGAGGAGGAGGAGGAGGAGGAGGAGATGGAGGAGAAGGACCAGGTTGCACACCCTCGAGGCTCCTCGTCCCTCCCGCGGTTCCAGTCTCGCGCCAGCGCGGCGGAGTCAGCGCGGGCCCTGCTCCAGCACACGGCCAGGCCCCGTGTGCAAGCCTGGCTCGCTCGGAGGGCAGCGTGCCATGCATCCAGTGGGGCTCACCCACGAGCAGATCGACGAGGCCTCATCATGCGCAGGACTACTGTTAAGTCGGGCTTCTCCCCCTACAGGCCGATTTTGGACGAAAAATAAGACATACCTAAAACATACCCCAAACATGCTCGAAAATAGTCAAAAAATAGTACCCCGACTATTTTTTGACTATTTCTGACTATTCCCCCTGCAGAGGGACAGGCCCGACTTAAGACTACGGATGGATGCGATGAACCTCCTCTGCGGGCCCCGAGGCCACCGGACCCCTGTCAAGACTCCTCCAGTGCTCCTCACTGGAAGAGGCTGTCAACCAGCGCATCGCTTTGCTTTCTATTCCGTTAAAGAACAACATACAGAAAACCTTGAAACATATTTCGCTCTCAAGAATGATAAAAACGATATCATAATGAATCTTCATATTCCCGATAAACTACCATATTGGAAGCAACTGCGACTGAAAAACAATTGGTAAAAATAATAAGAAAGCCTTATATGTAATAATTTCTGTGAACAGGAACTGGTGGGAAGAGACACGAGGTAGGAGAGCGTCGAGGCCGGGTTGGATCTGCGCCCGCCCCTGAAGAGGAAGGGAGGGAGAAAGATGTTCGATTCTTGGCATAGAAATGCGCCTGACGTACATTGGAACCTCTGGAACACCAAACCACGGTCAAGAACTCTTGCTTAGCGTGTTGCGGCGGCGGACCCATCGGCACGCTATGCCCTGCAAACGGATAGCGTGTCGATCCACTTCGCGGGACGGCTGGCTGGCAAAAGCTTGGAACTATGACGCCTGGGGACCAGAACGTGGCTATCGTGCCGCGCCGAGGCGTGTTGCTCCAGAACCAGCGGGGCGACACGCCAAGCAAACGCTCCTGACCGATCGCAGCCAGACCCGAGGCAGGAAGGCAGCCTTCGAGAACCTGAGAGACCCTGCGCGACGCGGGCCAAAACCTCGAAACACGCGAGGGCGTGCCCTCCCCAAGGGTGCACGGAGAGCATCCGGCAGACACGAAGAGCATCGGGGTGCCCTCGCGAGCCTGCCTCGGCCTGGCACCTCGGGCCGACTGTCTTGGAACCCGGGTACGGCCTGCGTCTGCCAAGGACATCCGCTCCGCACGTGCCCCGTGGGCCTCGCTCCGGGGGGTACACCCCAGGCATGCCTTTCGAGCCGCGCCCGGCCGCTGCGACGAGAGAAGCCCCCCGGACGGCCAAACGAGTGGAGAAAAACAAGGGCTCCCGACTTCGCGCTTCGCGTGGCGCGAGAGCGCGGAAGTGCGAATGACTTCGCGCTCTCGCGCCGCCTCCCAGGGGAGAGGAAGAGGATGAGGAGGAATCGGAGCCGAACCGC